TGGCTGTGATCGTCGTCCTGCTGCGACGTAAAATAATTCCTGATGTCACTTGGGGGCGGACGTTGAATTGCCTCTTCATCAGCCAGATCATCCGAGTGGAAGGCTCGTCGGCGTACGAGGGTAAATAAGAGTGCTGTGGCTGCCTTGCTCGACGATAACTCGGGGCACAGGGGTGGGACCGGATTGCACACCTTGAGACACGCTTGGCTTCTGATGCAAAGAAACACCACACCGGGACATTGGGAAGAACAAAGGGAGGGGTAGATTTCAGATGATAAGTTCGGGTTTAAATTCCAAACTGTGAACAGACCCGGTCAATCAACATTATTTTTATTATTGATTAGTTACATGGACAGCCATGTGACATCTGACAGACAGCATTAGTTTAGAATATTATTTATTCCTAATGTTTTTTAACTAATCTTGCTAAAAATAGTATTGACAATAGGAACCTCACTTACCTGTTGACCCCAAATGAGATCTGTTCTGAAAGCCACCACTAATTAGTTGGTCTGTGTACTAACCGGTATCCCATGTGTCTTTAGGACCGGAGGGTGATAGGGAACTGTTCTGTCGACAAAGGGAAAGGAGAGCTAGAGCAGCCGAGGCCAGCAGGGCATTTGCTAGCGAGGCCAGTGCTATAGCAGCCATGGCTACCACAGCCATGAGCACGTCTGCGCAGCAGACTTCCCAAGCCGGAAGTTCAGGTACCGCCGGGTCCACGGTCGTGCAGACCGTGAGTCAGTCCATTGGCTTAATGGCAAGCCAGCCCGCGGTGTTGTCCCCAGAGGATGTTGCCATCCAGCAGGCAGCCGTGCAAGAGGCACAACTACAGCAGGCATTAGGAAGCAGGCATTAGGAAGCAGGCATTAGGAGAGATAAAAAGGGAGAAAGAGATGATGATTAGAAGAAGAGCCAGGATGCAACAGAGAGGGGCAGACATAGAGGAGAGACGATGGACCTGACGCATATGGATGAGGATGTGAAGGTAGTTAGGAGGGCCCTGCTAGGCGTAATTGAGATGCAGGAGCATCAAACTACCCTCCTTCAGGACATTCAACAAAGCCTAGCCGTGTTGGCAGGCCGTGCTCAGGCAACACCATCACCAGCAGGGCGTGGTGCCTGGCCCGTGCCATATCCTCCTCTTTCTGTTCCACCGGTGACTGGGGTATCCCCATATGTAGCCCCTTCATCGGTTGCTATCGTTTCCCTGGGCATGCCTCTGTCAGGGGGGGTAACAGCAGGGAGTAGTTTGCAGGTTCCTGTTCAGACAGTGTTTACTCCAAGTCCGTCACAGGTTGCAGTCACCACACAGCCTGCTGTCTCACAGTCAGTGCAACCTCAGGGCACACAGCCCTAGCAGCTAGCACAACAACCTGTATCGCCGGGTCCACAGCCTGGGACCGGGACAAAGTCAGTGGGTTCCAAAGACGACCATCGCCGCTCCCAAACCTTTTACAGGGGACAAGAGAGGCGAAGACCTCGACACTTGGTTGAGGGCAGTGCCGGTCTACGTCAGGTGTAAGCTCACCTTGCCACACGAAGAAGTGCTTGTGGCTGCTTCCTACCTGGAGGGTAGTGCAGCGAGATGGTTGAGTGGGTTAGTGCAACTCCAGGGGTACGGTCATGACTTCCGCTCTTGGGCAGCCTCTGCACACGCGGCAGTTTAAGTCAGTAAGGGATGCCACCGACGTTGTAGAGCGTTTGATTTGTGTTCCAGGGGTACGCTATGACCCCCAGGTCCTGCTAACTTCGTACTTGAGGACCTTATCTCTGCCGCTCAGGAACCAGTTGGCAAAAGAGGCCAACATTAATATGCACAACTTTCCTTCGTTCAGCAAGGTGGCCCTAGACCTAGAAGCAAAGATAGGGCATGGACAGGCACCCACTACGRAAGGGAGAAAGAAGACAYTGCCTCCCAACTGGAAGGCGAAAGGTCGCATCATGYTTGTCGACAACGRTGGATCAACCATCGAGTTGGACGGCAACTTCCAGGAGGGAGTAGGTGCAGAGGCGGGTGGCGAAACTTCAGAGGGTGGAGTAGTCGCCGCCGTACAGCAAAAA